CTGAACACCTCTCTACTCAATGATAACTTGGTCAGGGATGAAATAAATAAAGAAATTAAAGACTTTCTGGAATTCAATGAAAAGGGACACAATGAAAGCAAAGCTAGGAGGAAAGTTCCTAGCACTAAGTGCCTTCATAGAGAAACTGGAGAGATCTCTCATACTAGCAATTAAACAGAATACTTGAAAGCTCTAAAACAACAACAACAAAAAAACCCCACACATCCAAGAGGAGTAGACAGCGGAAAATTGTCAAGCTCAGGGTTAAAATCAATCAATTAGAAATAAAGAGAATATAAAGAATCAATAAAACTAAGAGCTGGTTCTTTGAGGAAAGTCAACAAGATAGACAAACCCTTAGCTAAACTAACTGAAAGAAACAAAGTCAGTATCCATATTAACAAAACCAAAAATGAAAGGAAGACATGACAATAGGAACTGAGTAAATTTAAAAAAATCATTAGGTCTTACTTCAAAACCCTGTATTCCACAAAACTGGAAAACCTAAAATGGATGAATTTCAGGACAGATACTATACACTAAAGTTAAATCAAGATCAGTTAAACTATCTAAACAGTCTAATAACCCTTATAGAAATAGAAGCAATCATTAAAAGTCTCCTAACACCACCACCACCACCAACAACAACAACAACAACAAGAAAAGAAGCCCAGGGCCAGATGGTTTTCTACCAGACTTTCAAAGAAGAACTAATACCAATACTCCTCAAACTATTCCACAAAATGGAAACAGAAGGAACACTACCTAATTCACTCTATGAGACTACAGTTACCCTGATACCCAAACCACACAACAATTCAACAAAGATAGAGAACTTCAGACCAATTTCACTTATGAACATTGACAAAAAAAAATACTCAATAAAATTCTAGGAAACTGAATCCATGAAGACATCAAAAACATCATTCACCAAAATCAAGTTGGCTTCATCCCATGGATGCAGGGATGATTCAATATACAGAAATCCATCAATATAATCCACTATACAAACAAACTGAAAGAAAAGAAATCCCATCAACATCTCATTAGATGCTGAAAAAGCCTTTGGCAAAATACAACATCCCTTCAAGTTAAAAGTCTTGGAGAAACCAGGGACTCAAGACACACACCTAAACATAGTAAAAGCAATATACAGCAAACTAACAGCCAATATCAAATTAAATGGAAAGCTACTTGAATCAATCCCACTAAAATCAAGGACAAGACAAGGCTGCCCACTATCCTATCTATTCAATATAGTACTCGAAGATCTAGCAAGAACAATTAGACAACAAAAGAAGGTTAAAGGGATACAAACTGGAAAGGAAGAAGTCAAGGTACTACTATTCGTGGATGATATGTTTGTATATAGAAATCCCCCAAATTACCCCAGAAAACTCCTACAGTAACAACTTCAGCAAAGTGGCTGAATATAAAATTAATTCAGAGAAGTCAGTAGCCCTCCTTTATACAAATGATAAATGGGCAGAAAAACAAATTAAGGAAATAACACTCTTCACAATAGCCATAAATAATATAAAATATTTCATGTAACTCTAACCAAGCAAGTGAAAGATCTGTATGATAAAAATTTCAAGTCCCCAAAGGCCATGGAGGGATGTTACTTACTGGCTTGCTTCCCCTGCCTTGCTCAGCTTGCTTTCTTATAGAACCCAAGACTGCCAGCCCAGGGATAGCACCAGACACAAATGGACCCACCTCTTTTGATCACTATTTGACAAAATGCCTTACAGGTGGATCTCATAGAGGCATTTCCTCAAGGGAGGCTCCTTTCTCTATGATAACTCCAGCTAGGGTCAAGTTGACACACAAAACCAGCCGTTACAGCTTAACATAGTAAAAATGGCCATCTTATCAAAAGCAATCTACATATTCAATGCAGTCCCCGTCAAAATCCCAGCACATTTTTCATTCAGCACATTTTTGAAAAGAGCAATTCTCAACTTCATATGGATAAACAAAAAACTTAGGATAGTCAAAACAATCTTGGACAATAAAAGAACCTTTGGAGGAATCACCATTCCTGACCTCAAGCTCTACTACAGAGCAACAGTGATATAAAACAAAACTGCATGGTACTGGTACAGAAACAGACAAATTAATCAATGGAATAGTATAGAAGACCCAGAACACTTAATGAACACTTAATCTTCAACCAAGAAGCTAAAACCATATGAAGATATGGGGGAGAATAGCATCTTTAACAAATAGTGCTGTTCTAACTGGATACCTGCATGTAGAAGAATCCAAATAGACCCATATTTAACACCGCACACAAAACTCAAGTCCAAGTGGATCAAGGACCTCAACATAAAACCAGATAAACTGAATCTAATAGAAGAGAAAGTGGGATGTAGCCTTGACTACATTGGTACAGGAGACAATTTCATCAACAGAACTCCAATGGCTCAGGCTCTAAGATCAAAAATTGATAAATAGAACCTCATGAAACTGAAAAGCTTCTGTAAGGCAAAGGACATAGTCAACAGGACAAATCGGCAACCTACAGATTGGGAAAAAACCTTCACTTACCTCACATCCGACAAAGGGCTAATATCCAAAATATATAGAGAACTCAAAAAAGTTAAACTCTAACAAGCCACATAACCCAATTTAAAAACAGAATATAGAGTTAAACAAGAATTCTCAACAGAAAAATCTCGAAGTCTTCGAAGTACTTAAAGAAATGTTCAATGTCTTTAGTCATAAGGGAAATGCTTATCAAATCAACTCTGAGATTCTACCTTGCACCAGTCAGAATGACTAAGATCAAAAACTCAGATGATAGCAGATGCTGGTGAGGATGTGGAAAAAGAGGAACACTCCTCCATTGTTGGTGGGATTGCAAACTTGTACAAACACTCTGGAAATCAATCTGTTGGTTTCTCAGAAAATTGGAAATAGTTCTACCTGAAGACAGAGCTATACTACTCCTGGGCATATACCCAAAAGATGCTCCACCATACCACAAGGACACATGCTCCACTGTGTCCATATCAGCTTTATTCATAACAGCCAGAAACTGGAACCAACCCAGATATTCCTCAACTGAAGAATGGATACAGAAAATGAGGTTCATTTACAAATGGAATAGTATTCAGCTATCAAAAACAAGGACATCATGAATTTTACAGGCAAATGGATGAAACTAGAAAATATCATCCTGAGTGAGATAACCCACACCTAAAAGGACAGTCATGGTATGTATTCAAGAAGTAAACAGAGATAATAAGTATATATTAGCCATAAAGTACAAAATATTCATGATATTTTAGATATGCCATAGGAGGCAAAGGGAGGGAAGGAACTGGGTGGGAAAGTCGAGGGGAAGAGGATTAAGGAGGGGGTAGGATCAGATACAGGGACAGACAGGAAAGAGGCTCAGAGGGCCAGGAGAATGAATGTAAATCTTCAGCTGTGGAGATGGGAGTGGAGGTTGGGGGAGGGGAGAATCTCTAGGATGTCCCAGAGACCTAGGCTAGGGGAGGCTCCCAGGAATCAATGAGGGTGAGCTTAGCCAGGATTGCTAACAGTGGGGACATGAAACTAGAGGAGTTCTGCTAGGTAGAACTCCCAGTAGAAGGATAAGGACACCAACTGACCCACAAAGCTTTTGACCCAAAATCTGTGCTGTCTAAAAGAAATGCAGGGACGGAGCAGAGACTGAAGAAGAGGCCAAGCAGTAACTGGCCCAACTCACATCCCATTCCAAGAGCAAGTACTAATTCCAGACATAATCAATGATGCTATATCATGCTTGCAGACAGGAGCCTAGCATAACTGTCCTCTGAGAGGCTGTCCCAGCAGTGGACTGAAACAGATACAAATACCCATACTCAACCATTGGATGGTGGTCAGGGACTCCTATGGAAGAGCTGGGGAAAGAATTAAAAGCCTTGAAGAGGAAGGGAATTCTACAGGAAGACCAACAGAGACAACTAATGTAGGCCTTTAGGAGCACTCAGAGACGGAACCACCAACCAAAGAACACACACAGGCACATATGTAGCAGGCATGCAGCCCAGTCTCCATGGCTGCCTTGTCTGGCCTCAGTGAGAGAGGATGCACCTAATCAGGCAGAGACTTGATGTGCTGTGTTGGTGGGGGAATAACCAAGGGAGACTCCACCCTCTCAGAGAAGGAGAGAGGGAATGGGGGAAGAGACTCTGGGAGGGAGGGAGCAGGAGAAGTAGTGTTGGGGATGTAAATAAATAAATCCTAAGACAAAACTGTAAAATTGATATGCCAAATACTGCCTTTGTCGCTGATCAGTTCAATCAGTGCAGTTCCAGCACGGGGAGAAGGGGATTGGGATCCTACTCTATCTTGTTGCATTCTATTTCTTGGGACCAAGAGAGCGGAGTCTGCATTAAACACACACACCCTTATCGATCTTTCCTAGGCCTTGCTCTCACCCAGACTAGATATTTGTCATAATTCTACGTCTATGTTCACTATTAAGCCTTTTTTCTTGTGAAGCAATAAGCAAACAAACCCATCTGAAATGTAAGGATGGATGAATGGAACCAAGCTTTCTAAGCCTACAGGTGGGACTGACAGGCACTCCGCAGTGAGCAGGCAGATGAAGTCAGCAGTTTTCAAAGCACAGAGCCTAACACTCTTCACAAGGTGCCATTTCTTAAAAGCCTCCTCGTTACAAATGCTGGAAATGTTCAACCCGTACTTGGGAAAAGAATGGAAAATCTCCAGCCACAAGTCTCTGCAGTGTTACTACTGTAGCCTACTGACTGGAGATGGTGTGAGCTTTCAAAGAGACAGCCACACAGTAGCAGCGCGCATCTCCTGGCAGAGAAGCCTGCCAGGGCCTAGGCTCTGCTCAAGCTGGCTTTCACGTAGCACAGGGTGAGACAGAGTATTCCCGCACTGTAACCCAACAGTGTCACGGAGGTCTGCACCATGCTGTATACGCTTTCCAAGCCCCTCCCTCAGTGACAGCGCGCGCCCGCGGGGCCCATTACCATCCTGCAGAATGAGGGTGGGTTGCACTGCCTGCACTCGGAACTGCCTGGCCCTCCAGCCAGGGCTGGGCGCCCGCACCACCTCGCTGTCAGAGAGCCAGGTCACAGTCTCAAAGTTGTCCCCGCGAGCCAGGGCCTCGGCCTCAGCGCGGTGTACAGCCACCTGGTCGAACTGATAGAGACCGCCCGAGTGATCGAAGTGCACGTGGGTGGCCACGGCCAGCAGCGGCCGGCGTCCTGCATCCTCTTTAGCCCCGCAATCCTGCAAGAGGCCCGAGGAGTAGAGGTACTCCGGGAGGCTGCGCAGCCCCAGGCCCGTGTCGATCACCACGTCCTGCTCGGAGCCGCGCACCAGCCAGATGTTGGCCCGGTTGCCTGACTCGTAGAACCGTTCTTGAATCCAGAAGATGCCATCGCCCAGAGACTTGTGGGCATACCACTCGAGCGCTGACATGCTGCTGCGCAGGGGTGCGGCCGGGCAAGGTGGGTGTGCCTCCCACAGGCAGTCAGGACTCGCCGCAGCAGTGCGCGAGGAGCTACTCTCAGCTCCGGAGGAGGCGCGAACGAGGGGCGGGGACGCGGAAGGGAGCGCGGATAGGACGCAGCGACACTGCCCAGATCGCCTGTTCCGCGCCCTCCCTTCCGAGCCGCCGAGCGCCGAGACTGCACCCCAGCTTCTGCAGCCGCAGCCCCAAGGCGATAACGCAAGCCGCTGAAGTGGGGCGGAGACAGCAGGCAGTGCTGCCCTGCTCTGGGGTCCTACTGCAAAGGCCGGGAGAGATGCGTGGGAAGCGACAGGACTGCCCCCGCACCGGCAGCGGGCGCTGCGCACTCGACGCCGGAGCCCAGAGTGAGGCCGAGCCAGTTGGAGGCGGACTACGGCGCCTGCCAAGGGCTAAAAAGCTTCTTTCCGGGGGTGTGGCCTCGCTGAGAGTGGGCGGGGCTTCCAGTGCGCTCGCCCTGCGCTGGAGCCGCGTGCGGTGTGGTGCGCTCTGCTCCGGCTCCTTGCTGGCGCGGCTGCCTACATTCCTACCATCTCCGCTGCACCGTGTGCCCAAGCCTCAAGACTTGGCTAGCAGGTAACTGTAAGCTATCCTGTTCTGGGCTGGAGGTGAAGAGGGTAGAAGGGAGTTGATGGGGCACGTGGAGAACGTGGTGGCCGGGTATCTGGAGCCAACATTCATCAAAGCCCTTCTGGAGTGACTTTGGGAGGTAGCACTACCTCCCCCAAAGCCTGCTGCTGCCACTTTCCAAACCTTTAAAAATTTTCGTAGCCAGATCTTCCAGCCGCCAGTTGGGGGTGTTCTCAATGAGATAGAAGGGAGTTTATCCTTACAAGAGAAGACTGCAAATCCGGTGATTGTGGTTTTTGTTCAGGCAAAGTTTGGCGGCAGTTTGCTGATAAGGGCATACTTATCATCGCTTCTGTTTTCCTAATTCTTGGCATCTTTGATAGTGAGGAGAGGGGCTGGTGATAAAATTTTTCTTTAAAATTGAAATCCTAAATGCCCGTCGTAGTTCTTTGCTCTTGAAGAGACCAGAGAAAGTTAGAGCTTAAGGAAAGGCAGAGCACTTTGAGGGGACAGGAAAAGTGAATAATGACTGGGTGTGGCCTTGCAAGCCACCGAAATCACCCCCACTGTCACTATCAAGTCCCTGTGCTTGCACCCAGCTATTGATGCATCTATTTCGGATTCAGAAATTCCCTTTGGAATTTGACTAACCTTCAGAAATTATAAAGAGACCCACGGGACAGCATTATAAAGGATAATTAGGAAAATCCTTCCCGTGGCATCTCCTAGTAAGCCTTTCCTGGAGGGAGAGGTGTGTTCTTCCCACACTCCTAAAGGCTCTGGTGGAAGTGGGAGCGGGTTGCTGCCCTTTTGAGGATTTTGCTAATCTCTTCTGTTAATCAATTATGTAATTGGGAGCATTCTTAGTACCAGTGCCTGAGCTAAATGATGTGTGACAAGCAGAAAACCGGGTTAAAAAAAAAGTATGAGTTGAGTTCTCAAGAATCTGAGGAAGCTAACACCAGTACACAAATACTTGTTATATATTGCAACATGAATGCAAAAATTGGATTCTACATTCAGATGGACTACTGAACGGTTACACTTCCTTTAAAGAAGATATTCTCTGCAGAGAAACAGTGCCCAGTGTACTTTGTTTCTGCTGCAGAAGGGAGCCACTGGGTAAGATGGCACAGTATTGTTCCTTGGCTATGAGCTCAGAAATAATTAAGTGATGATTATGTGGTCTGTGCCTGGCTCTAGAGGCCTTTGGACCTACAGCTCCCAGTGGCTTTTCTTTTCTATTTTCCAATATGACTCTGCTTCTCATCTTAATTAAATTTATGCCCAGATAGTCCTGAATGAGGTGAGACTTCTTCAACTAGTTTTTCTGGACTGGTTCCTGCTTCACTTTCACATACTGCCTATCAGGTTCTGACAGGTTCTCTGAAGTATATTTTGCCCACTTCCCATACTTGACAGTGAACTCCATAAGAGCAGAGATGTTATTTTGTTCACGTCTGCATTTCCAACACAGAGAGGATGGTTTGACACAGAGGTTAGGGTTAGGTTTTAACAAAGACTCCAGTGAGGGAGACCCACCCTGGGGAGACAGACAACCAACAGTTACCTGATTAGAAGCAGAAGTTAAATGTCCTAGGCTCTGTTAATTGAAGAGAATGACATATCAGGAGTGTAAAGATTTGCCTCTGTTTAATTGACAAGAGATGAATTGAGAGTGACATAAAATGTCTAGTATGTTTCAGAGGGTCCGATGGGCGATGTAAAGGCCTGAGCTAATGTGGAAGAATGGAGAATAATAGAGAAACGGCAGCTAACAGTCTTTGTTAGCCGATCAAAGGACACAGCCAGAGTGGAATGAGTCAGGTTCTTGATTAGAGCAAGTTTCGGTCATTCTTCAGAAAGACACTGTGACCTGGCTTTCGCTGTCTCCCCTGGCCTCCAGCTATTGGAATATTTATTCATCTCCTTAGATGTGTAAGGATTTGTATACAAGAGGCTGATACACTTAAGTCACAATCATAACTCAGGACATTTTAGATCTAGGAAGAATTGCAGAGATGAGCTCACCGTCTTCCAGGAGGTTGTTTTAGAGTTGGTTAGGGTAGATTTAAATAACGCCCATTTCCAGATCTCTTGGAACAGGTTCTGAACGGCAGTTTTGAGGCAGTATCCTGAGCTGGAATCGAGGCAACATCCTGAGGTGAAATCAGCAGTGGTGCTTTGTCAATTTCTGATTTGGGGGCTGGAAAGATGACTTAGCAGGGAAGAGCTCGTGTTACTCTTGTAGAGGACCTGAGTTTAGTTCCTAGCAACCACACCAGGTGGCTCACAAGCACTGGTAACGTCTTCTGACTTCCATTCTTCTGCACATACCCACACACATTTTAAGATTTTGAAATTCAGAACTTTTTGCAGTTGCCAATTTCCCTTATTAATCTGTTATTTAAAAAGTCGATTGTTGCCCCGGCCGTGGTGGCGCACGCCTTTAATCCTAGCACTTGGGAGGCAGAGTCAGGTGGATTTCTGAGTTAATTAAGAATTAAGAATTGCCCAGTGCCTGTCCAAACTGATCAAAGCTAATTGAGTAAATGTCTAAGTTGAGTTGGGTCATTCTAAACAGATTTGGATAATAAGGAAACAGAGAAATAAAAAACTCTTCACAAAGATTGGAAGCTGGGGCGATGTCCCATCTATTAAGGATGTTGAAGCAGAAAGATCATAAATTCAAGGCCTGCCTGCGCTGTAGAAAGGGTTCAAGTCCAGTCTGGAAAACTATCAAGTCTCTGCCTCAAGAAGTAAATATGTAAATAAATAAGAATTAGAAGGCTGAGGATAAAATTTAGTAGGGGACGTTTGCCAATGTATGTGAAGCTCTGGTTCAGCCCCTCTTCTCGGAACAACACACCTTCCCTTGAAAACGTCTGACAGGTTGATTAAAAAAAATCAGTGTATTGGATAATACATCAAATAAAGGACTTAAGTGCCTTGCCCTAGGCCTCACTTGTGAACTTTTCCTTTCATGATTTAGTCTTTGGCTACAGGGGAAAAAATGAATTAAGAACCCAAGTATTCTATGTACAGCAGTACCAGTGTCTGAGTCATCAAAGTGTAGAATGACTTGTAGGCCAGTGTGCATAGTGACCAAGGTGTCTCAAGAGCTAGCATTTAATTTTCTGCAGGTTACATTTACTGTTGTTATCAATTTATGCCCAATGACTGCATGATAAAAATAGGAAGTTCGAGTCTGCAGAGCTTATTTCTGGGATGGTATTCCATTAAACAGTGTTAGCTGAGATACTCTTAGAGTGAATTTCCCAAATAATTTCCAGGGCCCAACTTCAAAGATACTGGTTTATTTGGTTTGAGAACTAAGTCTTCCCCAGGACTCAATAGGTTTTATATTTATATTGTCCAGTTAATTCCTCTGATTAGGCAAGTTTGGTAAACTTTTCCTGGATTTATTTCTAATCTCTAATTAGTGATAGATCTTAGATTGGAATGTAGCACACTGGTCTTGGCCATGCTTGTTTGGCTCCTGTGGGTGCTGAGCAAAGCTGTAAGCCTCCTTACTCAGCAGATGTCCTACTTGAAAGACCAGCTTTCTGTAGACTCAGCGTGATAGAGTGACTCAGCAATTGGAATGAAGCCATTGTGATATTTTACCTCTTTTAGAGTGGACAGATGGAATGAGCTTTGAAATTAAAATGAATTTCCTAATGGATTTTGTTTCTAAGGTAATTGGAGTATAAGAAAAATTAATCTGTAGTAGAGTTCCAATCAGCAAAATAGAAAGATTATAAAAATGTGTGCATCATTCAAGTCCACAGGCTTGTAAAAAGTGTATGTCACCATTTTGCAATCTACAGTGGAATAGTAGATGTAGGCAAGTAGGTGATACTGATGGGCATCCTATACTAAACAAGACAGGCCAGTAGTAACTAACTCACAGATCATCCTGACTGTCGGCGACAGCTACCCAAAGAACAGAAGTCAATCTGAAATCTGAGGTAGTGGCTAATGTACCTGTTCATTGGAAATCATGGTCAGAGGAATTCATTAAACTACTTAGGTTGTGATTTTCCAACCCAGAATATGGAGGCTGTTGCTAGTTTTGAGCTGTGCTCAGATGCATTGCTGTCTCTGGGAAGGTCAAAACATAAGCATTTGCATGTACCTTCATGTTCTGATGATGTGCATATTACAGAACAGCCACCTAATCTTTTCCATAAGTAAATAGTTTAAAAAAAAAAAACAGAACAGGAGACAAATAGAACAGGAGACGTTCTACAGTTAGAAGGAAGGAAATGTAAAATACATCATTACAACTGCCATGTGAATTTTTTGTCTTGAATAAAAACAAACCTATAAATTCTGTTATGTGGCAAGGGAGGAAGTTTGGGTGCTGATTACATAAAAGATGGTAGTAAAGGGCTGTAGATATACATGTGAGATTATGTGGTTTCCATAGTTTAAGGAGCTCAGAGAGTAGCAGCTTTCCCTTCACACCCCATTCCTGCTGCCCATCCCCAGACTCTTCAGCCCTCCCCTTTCCCCCTTCCACCTTTGCTCCCCGTGTTTCCTATCAGATTCCTCTCCTCTCCCCTCCTCTCCTCTCCTCTCCCCTCCTCTCCTCTCCCCTAGAGGTGTGCTCCCTCAGCCTCCGTTCCTCCTCTTCCTCCCCTCCCCCCTTCCCTATTTCTTCTAGGTAAGCTCCTATGGTTTCCATTTTCAACACTTTCCTGGATGCTGCTGCTGTAGACTGCACTGTTTGGAAACCACTGCTCCAGATTTCTAAGCTACTCAAGTGTTTTAATGATTGGTAGGGTTAAAACCTCTTTTTTATGTTGGCTCCATGAGGAAGGAAGCTTAGATTTCTAGGTTTTTAGACCAGGCTATTATAATCAGAAAATACAAAGGGCAGAGCAAATTAAACATTCCTCCCCCAATCCTCCCCCTTTCTCCCTCCCTATATAACTCGGGACTGCCCTCTGGCCTTCATTAGTATGTAAATCTCTAGGGCCTGAGGCCTATAGCCTGGCCTATGTGACTCTATGGAGGTGTGACTGTTTTTCAGGATCCTAGATGATGGGAGGGACCGAACTCCTGCCGGTTCTCACGCAGAATTCCACGGAGAATCTCGGGGTTCTAAGTGCCTGCTCAACCATGACCCAGGATACCCTCACGAAGTCTCACATTATTTGACTCAGGCAGACCATTTCAGAGCCTTATCAATCCCTTTCCTATTCCTCAAAGGACATTACAGCTCACTGTTTAACACTCATATAAATATCTTGTGAGGAGTTGCAGTGTATGGTTACTAGTGTGCAAATTGACATAAGTAAGATTTCTTCTTAGCCTGAATTTATACTCTCCTTTTTCTCCATTTCCTCCTCCTTCTCCTCCATGCCCCTCCTCATCTTCCTTCTGTATATCTGAGATCTTGCTATCAAACCACAGAGATAGAGAAAACTGTGTCAGTTGGCTGCATAGTTCCGGCTGGATCTCAAAGGAGACCAGAGTCAGCCCGCTCCTGAAGCTCTGAGTAAAGGGACCTTAGCCTTTAGACTTTCTCTCTACATAGTGGAGGCATGCGAACACTTCATTCAGCCTTCAGTAACACTTGTTCTTAAACACATTTCTTTTTAGCTGAAAAAAAAATAATTTTTCATACAATTTATTCTAATAACAATTTTCCCTGCTTCCAGGTTCTACCAGATCTTTTCCACCCACCCAACCTTTTTCTCTTTAAAAAACAAAAACAAAACACACACACACACACACACACACACACACGCACAAAACCCTTCACAAAAACAGAAGTCAAAATATACAAGCAAAGACCATAAACTCCAAAAACAAAACTCCATAAAGCAATCTGAAACAAAATTTCTTTTTAAAAAATGTTTTAAAAAAGTATTAGAACTGTTAAATTCATTTTGTGTTGTCCAACTACTCCTGGGAATGGAGCCTACCCAGAAATGTGGTTAATGTACCCAGTGAGACTCCATTGGAGAAAACTAAAAACGAATTTTTACTTTGCAAGCAAGTATCCACTGTATTGTGTCAGTGACTTTTTGGTTTGGGGGTGAGTGCCTGCATCTCCTTGCCTTCCTTGTTGGGGGGGTGGGGAAGGAGTCTGTGTCTAATTTCCTCTCTGAGTCCTGGGACTCTGTCTAGCTTGAACCTGTGCAGACCTTGTGTGTGCTGCACTCTCTTAGTTCATGTGTGCACCAGTCCTGTTCCGTCTTGAAGACACTGTTTCCTTGGAGTTATCCATCCACTCTGGCTCTTCTAATCTTCCTGCCAAACTGTGCATAGATCCTCTTCTGCATAGATCCTTGAACCCTGCTCAAAAGTATTTTAAATCAACCATGCTAGATGAGGGCTAGAGTCTTATATTTTGCTTTAAAATGCTTGTTTCCTTTTATGTATGACCCAGTGAATCTTACCCACTAACTGTGTCTTTCAGCATTGGCCCAAACCGCTGCTATAGCTGCTTCCGATGGCTGGCAATAAAGGAAGAGGGCGCGCTGCCTATACCTTTAATATAGAAGCTGTTGGATTCAGCAGAGGGGATAAGTTACCTGACGTGGTGTTGAAGCCTCCACCGCTGTTTCCTGTGAGTATAATGATAGCTCAGTTTTCACAGTGTTTTCACGTGTTTCATGGGAAAGTGCAGTTCTGCTTAGGGCTTGAGGACTTGCTATTATCATGACATCCTTATGTCTAAGAATAAAAGAGTATGTCGCATCTACCTTGTACTCAAACATCTGGTTATTCTCAGATCCTGCCGAGACTGCTTTCTTAAAATACAGAGAACAAAACTATGTATACCTTTCTACAAACACGATGAGTACTGTGTGTACCAAGAAAAATTATTTGAAATCTTGTGTCTTCTATTGATGTCATTAGTATATCTAATTACCAAAATAATATTTGAAGTAGCCAAGTTAGGTTCATGATGCCCCTGGTGTAGCCAGTGGTTTTCTTCATTTCTGTATTTGTAAAAATGATTTTACGCCTTACTGTTATGCCATGTTTGTCTCATTGAGTTTGTCTTTGCTGTATCCCTGTTCTAAGTCAGTTAGATTTTGTTTTCTCAGGCCACAAACATTTCTCCTAGTCTTGTGATTGCTTCTAAACTGAACAATATAACAGCTGATGTTTCCTCTACATTCAGTTGAAGCGGAAGTTTCCATTTCCAGATGGGTATATGCTGCTGCTGAAAACTGACAGCCTGTTTCAGGTGGAGAAGACCATTGTTTTTTTTTTCCCTCTCCCTCTTGCTGCACCCTTTTGCTCCCCCCCTCTCCCCTCCCCCTTCCCTCCCCCTCCCTCCCTTTCTTCCTTCCCCCCCACTCATATGAGGCCATCAGATCTGTTGAGGGATGGTTGTGAGCTACCATGTGGTTGCTGGGAATTGAACTCATGACCTCCAGAAGAGCAGTCAGTGCTCTTAACTGCTGAGCCATCTCACCAGCCTAGAGAAGCCCACTGTCGCAGGACTCATGGCAGTATAGAGCCCTGGACAGATGGAGCTTTGTTCTAGATACACACATAAAGAGATTATGCTTTTTAAAAAAACACTTAAATAGTTTGGATTTTTTTGAGAATTTTATACATCATTTACAGGATTTTATACATCGTTATATCATTTCCACTCTAACTCATCCCATATCCTCCTTGCTCCCTCTCAAATTCACGACCTCTTCTATATTGTTATTACATATTCACTTTATATGTATAATAATAATACGCACACAGCCTACTCAACATACGTTGAGTGTTGCTCATATGTATGTGTTAAGGGCTGACTACTAGAAATTGGATAACCTATCAGGAGCCTTGTTCTTGGAGAAAGCTGATTTCCCCTATCTTTGTACTAAGTTGACGATAGGTCTTTATGAAGAGCCAGGGGCATTGTCTTTTGGGGTCTTTTGAGTTCCCTCATCCACGTTGGTGCTTGAGCTGCTGTTATTCTTATGCAGATCTGTTTTGACAACAATACTGTTGAGATTTCATGGATGTGACTTGTGTCATCTCTGGGTGACACTGTCTCACATCGTGTGTCCTTCCTAGTCCCCTGGGTCTTTTCATTTCACTTGCTTTTCTGTGATGTCTCCGGAGGCTTAGGTGTATGCCAAGGACCAGCCTCGACTTGGAGAGGGGTCTGAGAGAAGGGGTGTTTGACAACAGTAAACAAACGACTCGAAGTCGAATCATGGGTACAAATCATGGGGCCTGTGTTCTGCTCGAGATGGCTCCCTAGAGAGCTCTCTGTACATAGGTCTTAGCTCTGTAGTTTGCTCAACATAACTTTCTTTCTGCTTTAGACAGACAGCTCCCTCATGCTGGAAAAAATTCTAAATGCTTTCTGGATAGCTCATGGGTTTTCGAATCACAGTCAGAAAAGATGCTAGAAAAGATTATTGGGTTTTCTGACCAAGTCAGAAATGCTATTAGAAAAACTCTAAAAGTAATTGTTGGGTTTTCTGATGAAAATCAGAAAGCCAGAAAAAATGTCTAAAAGCTTTGTTAGCTCTCAAAGCAGTTCTCTGGATAGCTGCTCAAAAACATTCTAAAAGGGCTGTCTTCACTCTTCAGACAGCTTTCTTTCTGGATATCTCCAGACAGCTGAGATGTTGTAGACTAAGGCCTAGTCTTTTGTTTACCTATTAATTCAGTCATTTACTCTAGTTTCAATTTGAGTCTCCCAGGAATCAGCATTCCATGACCCAACCCCTTCTTTCATAGAAAGAGTCAGCAAGCACACACTTTTTTTTTTTTTTTTTTGGTTTTTCGAGACAGGGTTTCTCTGTATAGCCTGGGTTGTCCTGGAACTCACCCTGTAGACCAGGCTGACCTCGAACTCAGAAATCTGCCTGCCTCTGCCTCCCAAGTGCTGGGATTAAAGGTGTGCGCCGGCACTGCCCGGCCACACTTTTTTTTTTTTTTTTTAACATTGCAAAAGAATTCAGAGATCTGCCTGCCTTTGTTAAACTCAAACAATAAGCTAGCTAGCTGGAGGGAACCCTGCCCTGACATTACCATTCCTATCAGAGCTGAGCCTGGATCTAAACACCCTCTGTTCCAGGCTGACCTTGAACTCAGAAATCTGTGTAAGCACAAACAAAAACTTAGTTGGGTGGGATCTTACCCTGTGATCACCACTCCCTAAATCCCTTTATCTCCTTGCCTTATCTTACCGTATCTTGCCAACAGCTTGCCTTACAATGCAGCTGCCTCTGTTCCTTTAGATCTGTGGTGCTCCTTATACAATTCATATTGCTTCCTTATTTTTTTTGCATAGCTGAGAAATTATATATTGTTTTCAGAGTTCTTTCCTACAGCCGTAATTCCTGAAGGTCTGAGAATTTACCGTCTTGTCTAATTATCATGGAGTCATTAACCTCGTCTGGGAGGATATTTCCTGAAGGAGGAACATGAAGATGTGTATATATTTACACATATGAGGCATACGCCCACAGCAGCCATTGACACTCATGGAGGCCCTGTCCTGCTGGCTCTGTTCCAGGGGTGGGAACAATGACATGCCGTCCCTGCCATGGCCAGGTCAGACATGTGTAGGAGTTGTGTTTTGGATATACCAAATGGGCACTCATGGTATCTTAAGTTGCATTTTGACCAGTTGTGGAGTTTTATAAGTGCTTCTGTGTGCTGCAGAAAGAATCTTCTGTGAAGAGAGGTGAAAGCCACATTTACCCATGGATATAAGGACAATTGAAATTAGAATATAATTGGAAATTATATTGATCAAGAGAAATGGCAGTTGTAGGTTTTCTCTAGGCTCTAGACCCTCTTCAGCCATGAGTGGCTGGCGAGGTATATAGTGTGAGGGATGGATTTCCTCCTATTGAACAGGCCCTGAGTTCAGTTTGACAGTTGTTGGTTATCCCCAAGTTAAAAATGTCACCACTGCATCATTGGGGATATTTTGCCTCTGGGCCAGTCATTGTTGGTCATAGTCTTTACAACTGGGTTCTTTGTCAGTTCACATAGCACTTTCTGTCCAGTACCTCAAGAGCAAATCCTCAGGGAATAGCTTCCGGGTGTTGTTTGCAGCACCTTAATGTTCTAGGAGGCAAGTGAGGGTAGTGGCAATAGCCTATATTGTTTTAGAACTGTATTGGATATTCTCGCCCAATGACTCAAAGGAGCTTTCCCAAGCCTGATTGATACTGGAGCTTTTTTGTCTATAGTTTTGGGGGAGAGCATTATTATCTTGTGTACTGTAAACTCGATATACATACGTATGTATGTATGCATGCATGCATGTATGTATGCTTATAAATAATGTTTCCCTGTGCCTTTTTCAAACCTCCTCAGTGTCACTTCTCTCTCCTTCCTCCCTCTCCCTCTGTATTACTTTCCCTTCTCCCCAGTTGAAGTCCCTCAGTTTCCATTCATACACCTGTGTCTTATTATGGTTTTTGCTCTTCATATTTTACCTTTCATATTCAATAGACCTTGAAAACAGAGATGAATATCTCAGCTATATGCATAATATCTTGTTATAGTGGCTTCCCTCAAAATAAGGCCACCAGGTATGACTTTACCTCCAAACACTGAGAAGGTAAGTACGTAGCACCACTTTCATTTGGGAATAGAACTAACTTCTTGCTAGAAGTCTGTGCCTGCCTTGGCCTTCCTCATCTTCTCAGCCTTCTCACTGCTGGGTCCTCAGGCCCCAGCTGAGCTGGACCCCTTAACCTCTCGGGTCTTTGTTCCTTCCTGCTGGATTCTTAGAACAACTTGCTCTCTTTGCATGAGTAGCTGGTTTATTTTTGTCCATATCTCAGTTCAAATATGACTTCTCCAGGAGGCCATGTATTCTTACCCTGTGCAGACTAGCCACTCTGTGACCCCCATGTCACATTTTCTGCTCTTTTATACTTGTCTTCATGATCTGAAATTTATTGTACCTCCCTTGTTTGTTTAATTGTGTGTTTGTTAGACTTCGGCGCGCAGCTTGGAACAGACAACACCAGACCAAATGGTTCCAAAGGGGAGGGAGTTTATTCAGGGCGGAGGGCAAAGGTAGGGGGAGAAATGGGCCTGGATGGTGGAGAAAGGAGAGAGAAAGGAGAGAAGTGGAGGCCGGCCATGACCACGTGGAGAGAGGGGGAAGTGAAGGGAGGAAGGGCAAGGAGAAGCTAGAGGCAAGAGAGTAAGAGAGAGAGGAGGAGGCAAGCAGCCCCTTTTATATTGGGCACGCCTACCTGGCTGTTGCCAGGTAACTGTGGGGAGGAGCATACCTGGCTGTTGCCAGATAACTGCGGAGGTGGAGTTTAGACGGAATACTAACAATGTTTCTTCCCTGGGATGTAGGTTCTACTGTCTAGTACACAGTAGTTGCTCAAGGGGGTTGTTTTGAATGCCTTAATAGGTTGAGAATCCACCTGTGGAAATATACTGTATCTTTACTCTGTTGTATCTTTATCTGCATTCTGGGGACCCACTTTTTAACAAATATGTACAGATGGTCATACAGTCATGCCTGTACATTCATATAAATATGGGTATTATGGAATCCTTCTTCTTACCTATAAAATATGAAATTAGGAAATATGCTTTAAAGCTAGATTGTAGAAGCTCAGCGTCTTTATTTTTTTTTTCTTTACAACTTTGAGACAGAGTTTTATGCTTTAGCCTGTGTTGTCTTGGAGGCACCATGTAGCCCAGGCAGGCCTTGAATTAGAAGACGTGTTCTTGCCCTGCCCACCACAGCCTGGGATTCCAAGAAAGTAGCCTCCCCTGCCTAAGGCTCAGCAGCTTTGGATTTGATTAGAACCTTACTGCTCATGCAGCTTAATCTTTCAATAAAAGCAACAGTTTCTAGAACGTGGATAAAAGAAACAGTAAAATTCTTCATTTATTCAAATAGACTTTGTCTCTTATGTTAAATAGGATACAGATTACAAGCCAGTGCCCCTGAAATCGGGAGAAGATGAAGATTACATGCTGGCCTTGAAGCAGGAGCTGAGGGAAACAGTGAAACGACTGCCTTACTTTATTGAAACACCCGAAGAAAAACAAGGTATGTGTTAGGCTCTTCATGAGCCGGCAGCTCAGTGTTTACAGAAGAAGCAGTGCATCCTGGGATCCATGATCACTGAGTGCTGGATCACGGGACTCGGTCAGACCATCACCCAACTTGAAAAAGCATTACTTACCAGAATTGTCAAAAAGGAAAAACATTTATATTTTATTGCATTGTTGTTTTTTTTTTTTTTTTGCAACTTGCTCATAATACTTTGTGTCTTCCACTTGTAATGCAATAATATATTAGCCTTTTAATATTTCCTTAGTATTCTTAGAAAAGCATAATATAATAACTATGTTACTCCATTATGTGGCTAAAATTAATTATCACTAATTTCCTACTGTTCGGATGAAGTGGCTCTTTTTTTTTTTAAACTATGCAATGCTGTGATTATTGCCATTCTACATAAGTTTTTAATGGATGCCTCTGAATTTAGGTTAAAAAAATTTTAAACTTTGATTTTTGTCTTATTGTTTATGTTCTGATGATATAAAATATGTGTTAGTTCTTGATGCCGAAGGCAGAAAGGAGAAATTATACTTCGAGAAGGCTCAGCCATCTCAGACTAGAAATGGGAAGTGATTTTAGAGGAATCGAGCCTGCTTATCCGATGAGCAGTTCTTTAGCACAATAAAACCGTATTGACTGTTAGAGAGATCGATATCAACTTTGTGTTCTTAAAACAACACCATTAAAACATGAGAAATTTGTATAGTACCGCTCATGCCATTAGTATTAAAAGCATTTTTTTCCTCTAAGACACAAAGGCTGGTCAAAGAGGGAGTGTCTAGGTGATGCTGTTACATGTCTTCATGAGAAGCCTGCTGGACAAACTGAATCTTCATGGCTTATCTACTTGAGTTTGTTTATATAATGGTTTGATAAATTTTACCTCAACAATAGAGAGGTTTTATTTTTACTTTTCTGATTTTGTTGCATGCCTTAGTCTGGATTTAAAAATTAAATTAAATTTTATATATTTTTAAATGAACTAATAAATGCTCCTTTTTATTTTAAAAATTAATAAGGCATGGTATAATTATTAAAATTAGACTTTCCTTTAGCTAAGTGACATGTTTAGCTACTAGGATGTATTTATTGAAGTGCAGGTCTAGTTAAAAGGTTTATCAGACCATTCAAACAGTTATATGCGTCTTTTAAGTGGTCATTGTTTTAGTTACTGTTCTATTGCTGTGAGGAGACACAGGATGAAAGCAACTTTTACAAAAAAGCATGTAATTAGGGGCTTGCTCACAGTTTCAGAGACTTAGGTCATGATCAATATGGTTGCAGGCATGGTACCAGGAATATAGCTGAGAGTCCACATGTGACCCACAAGTTACAGTCAGAGCGAGAGCTAGACCAGGTCTGGCATGGGCTTTTAAAACCTCAAAGCCTGCCCCCAGTGACACACCTCCAACAAGGCCACGCCTCTTAATCCTTTCAAAGTGTTCCACTGAGGACCACACATTCAAACATATGAGCCTATGAGGCCATATAAAATATAAAAAGATATAATACTTACTTGTTTAATCCCATAAGAAAATTGTATAGGATTTTCCAAATTGATAGAAGTAAAATCTCTTCAAATCTTCCTCTCTGCTCCTCTTTCCTGATGTATGTTTTAAAAAGCTCTGTGGTTCAACATACAGTTTTAAATAAGATGTATGCATTCTTATATATGTGTAGGAGCACACACTTAACCGCAGCCTCCTTTCTGTTCATCGGCAGTATGTTCCAAGATGTCACCAGAGGATGCCTAAACCCACAGATCGTACCGAACTGTGTACTGCACTAACTGTGTACCGCACTAACTAACTGTATTGCACTGTGGTACAGTCATTGAGCACCAGGAGGATGACAGGGGCATGCTAGACTGAGGCATGATGTTCGTCAGGGACTTTTTTTTTGTCTGTTTTATTGTGTTTTGTTTTGTTGTGTTTTGTTTTGTTTTTGAAATAGGGTCTCCCTATCTGTCTCTGACTGGCCTGGAACTTGATGTGTTGACCAGGATGCCCTCAAACTTACAGAATCCAGCCAACTATTTCTTCCATATCCTGGAATTAAAATGTGTACCACCATCCTCAGCTTAAACCAGTATTTAAGAAAATATGAAAGATTTCAGAAACCTTCATCTTTATAGTTACTTTTTATTTTTAACTTCCATTAAACTGAGAATTCAAGTTATTTTATTTCATTTTTTTTTACTAATATATTGCCCTAGCCCTTGGCTCCTGAGACAGTCTTTGGGAGTAGGGGATGAGAATGGGGAAAATCAATGACGCAGATTCCGGGAGCCCCATGAGAAGCAGAAGCAGACTTGTTTATTATTATAATAGAGAGTACCTTTATACCCTCTGTCCTCGTCCCCTCGGTCCATAACTGCTTGTCCCCTACAGCTGGCACCTGGCTGCTCAAGTTACACGCTCGTGCTCTCTCTTTGTTCCTCTCCGGGTGTCAGGCAGGTTACAGGGTTAGTGAACGCAGAAGTGCCTGCTGCACATGCATGGGCCATTGCGGGCCTCTAGTCAGAACACACTGACTCACTCCTGCACTAATAATGCCAAAGAGAAGAAATGTTTCATGGGAAGATGTCTTGCAATAACTAGATGAGTCAGGAACTGAATGCACCAATGAATAGAGGCTGTCTCCACACGGATGGTGCACAAAGTGGGTGAGCAAAGTTACACACTGAATCCCCACCGACAAGACCTAAGGTGGATTGTCTCGGACATGAGAATCTGTGAATGCACAGGTTTAATTCTTTAGGAATTCAAAAGAAATGTGCGGTTCTTATGCTGAAAATCTTTGAGAAGGATATCATCAGAGAACTTATAATCATTTGGTATCTTGTTTGCTAAAATGCATGCTACCATATTTTTTTCATTTTGATGTTTATTTTTGCACCAAATTTTATCATCTATGGTTTTTAAATGAAGAAATGCTGAAGAAAGACAGAGACAGTGATCAGACAGACAGAAGTAGGTTATTTATATAGAATTATTGAAAAATAAATGACACTCATGTTTGCCATTTTCAGTAAAGAAAAACAAGAAGATAATGGAGCCCTTTCTCTTATTCAAGCAAAGTATAAGCCATCAAAAGTTTTTAAATTTAATTTATTTGTTTGTTTATTTCAGGTTTTACAGACTAAAGAGCAAATTCTATGGCTTGAGTACGCTATAGACAAATGCCATATGCTAAGCTGCATCCTCAGCCTCTTCAGAGTTCTACTGTCTGTTTTTTTAATTCTGACTTTTTTTTTTTTTTTTTTTCTTTTTGGTTTTTCGAGACAGGGTTTCTCTGTGTAGCCCTGGCTGTCCTGGAACTCCCTCTGTAGACCAGGCTGGCCTTGAACTCAGAAATCCGCCTGCCTCTGCCTCCCAAGTGCTGGGATTAAAGGCATGCGCCACCACTGCCCGGCTTAATTCTGACTTTTAATTATGGAAGCACAAGAGTTATAAATACAGGTGATGTTAAGACAGAATCTATCAGAAACCCATCTGGACTCCTCAGTGGTTCTCACCTTTCCTAGCTCTGCCACCTTTAATACAGCTCCTCATGCTATGGTGACCCCCAACCATAAAAGTACTTTTGTGGTTACTTCATAACTGCGATTTTGCTACTGTTCTGAATTAAAATGTAAATATTTTTGGAAGTAGAAGTTGCCAAAGGAGTAGTGACCCACTCAATTGCAGTTGAGAACCACTGTTTTAGATGACATGAACACAAGATCCCAACCAATGCATTAAAACTCATTGAAATGTGTATGCCAAAGCTGGAATCATGAGATCCCACGCACGCTTTGCTTGTGGGAGCAGCTGTTGTAAGGTCACCTCCATTCAGAAGGTGGTGTATTTTGTGGTTAAATCTATCTCCAAAACAAGTAAACCATGAGAGGTGCATTCAGATTGCTGTTCTTAACATCTTACGGAAACTTGTGAGCTTTTCTTCTCTTTGTTCTGCTGTTTGATTTTTTATCTTCTCTCTTCACAGTTACATTAAGTGCGTGTTTGTTCCCACAATCCTCAATCTTTGGTTAGTTCTTTTTTCCTGATACAGGATCTGGCTCTATGCTAGGCTGGTCAGCAGCGTGCTCACCTCCACCTGCTTCTCCCTCTTCTTCCCTTTCTTACAGCTAAACCTCCAAGCTACTTAAAAAATATTTCTTGTTTCTATGTGTTTTTGATGCAGTATATTTTGATCATGTTTTTTCCTCTTCCCCAACTCCTCCCAGGTCCTCCCCTCCTCTACCTTCCCAACTTTGTGTTCTCTCTCCCCTTCCCTCTCCTTAAAAAGACAAAAAACAAGAAACAAAACAAAAAAACCAAACAAACAAAAAGGCAAGAAACAAATTCTCACAAAGACACAAAAAGAAAAATCATAACAAATGGGTAACAGAAAGATCAAATATTAAAACAAAACAACAGTAAGTTCACAAAACACTCTGTTTTGGCCAAGTGCTCCTGAGCACGGAGCCCAGGCTGGAGCCTGGTTATACAGCTAGTAAATGGAGCCCAGGCTGGAGCCTAGTTATACACCTAGTGAATGGAGCCCAGGCTGGAGCCTGGTTATACACCTAGTGAATGGAGCCCAGGCTGGAGCCTGGTTATACAGCTAGTAAATGGAGCCCAGGCTGGAGCGTGGTTATACACCTAGTGAATGGAGCC